TGTCGGGCTTGCAGGCCCAGCGAGCAGGAGAGGTGACCAGGCCCAGTTGTCACGCATGCTCCCTCGTGCAGTGGCAGATGCCATGATCTAAGGATAGAGCAACTTGGGGAAGAAAGGCTGATTTCAGCTTACAGGTGAAGTCCACCAGGAAGGGAGGACGGGGCAGGAATCATGCGGGAGCTGGTGCAGAGGCCACGGAGGAGGGCTGCTTACTGGCTCACTTTTCCTCGCTGGCTTGGCTTGCTCCTTTCTATTGCAGGACCATCTGCCCAGGGGTGGTACCACTCAGAGTGGACTAGGTCCCTCTTCATCCATCATCAGTCGAGAAAATGCCTCCCAGACCGATGCCCGCAGGCCCATCCGATGAAGGCATTTTCTCAACTGAGGTTCCTCTCACCAGATGACCCTACTTTATGGTAAATTGACAAAAACAAAACCAAACAAAACCAAAAACCTACCTGTCTGTGTTTACTCCTATTGTGTGCTAAGCTTCAGATCTGTTTCTCGTGGTCTTTTCCTGAACAATCAGTGAATATGTCTGCTTGGACCTGTGACAAAATGACAAGATGTCTTCCTGGGTTTACCCAAGAGAGCCTTGGCTCTAAGGGATCTTTTTCCGCTCCTGGTTACTCAGACCCCTAGACCAGGCTATCTTCTGAGTTAGGATCTTTTGCAGATGGCGAATGTGCTCCCAAGCACTGTCTGTCAGTCCAGTTTCTTCAGCAACTATTTCGTTCTTTCTTCACTTTTCCCAGCCTCCTCTCAGGCTCTCGGGCACACTCTGCTTGCCCTGCAGCCGCTGAAGACTTGGAAGCCAGCAGACAGGAATTCTCTCAGCTTCCCATCCCCACCCTTTTCTGTCAAAGGCCAGGAACCGCTCTTGCTTCCTAGGGGTCTCATTCTCTCACTCATCTTAGTAAAACATTTCACTATTAACCAAAGCGATGGCACTAACTAAGCCAACACTTTGAAATGCTTGTGTGTAAAATGAAGATTATTGAACATGCAATGAAAAACAAAACCCAGGAGAGGCAGCAGTATTAATATTTGTTATTTGCTTGTAAAACTGAGATTATTCATTCCTATAGCTGATTCCTGTCCAGGGTGACCATGGAAGTTTGTCTTATGTGTGTGGCTCTTTTGCCTGTGTGTGTGTCTATGTCTGTGTGAGTGCGGTGTCCAAGGACACCCGAAGAATTCATGAGATTCCCCTGGGACTAGAGTGACAGACAGCTGTGACCTGCCATGTGAGTGCTGGGAATTGAACCCAAGTCCTCTGGAGGAGCAGCCAGTGCTCTTAAGTGCTGAGCCATCTCCCCAGACCCTGGAAGTTTTGATTCTACTTTCCTAGTTGACACTGTTTGGGACACACTCCACCACTGACGTGGCAGCTCTCAGTTCCCTAGTCATTGTACTTTTCTTCCTAGGCCACGGTTGAGAACCCGCGTGCCATGTCTAACGCCAAAGTCTGCCTGTCATCAGCTGAACTCAAACTTCCTTCCAGCAAACAAAAAAGTTGGGCTGTTTTTTCCAAAAGGCTCTGTCTCCATGGCAATCATGTTCACCTTACAAGGATGACACAGTCTAGGTGTCCTCTTTCCTCTCTTATTAAGAACCAGTTCAACCACTGACTTTTCTCTGTGCTCATCTAACCCTGGCCTGTTGTGTACCCGGCACCGTATCTCCTCCAGCTGCGCGACCGTGGAGGCCGTGGGTGGCGGCGCCATCTTCTCTGCCTTGGCAACATCTCTCTCTGTCTCCCGTTCCCCACTGCCTCGGCAACACCTCTCTCTCCCGTTCCCACTCCCTCGCCTGCTTAAGATTCTAGTGGCGTCTCCTTCCCTGAAAAACAAAACACTCCCATCTTTTCTGCCCCAGCCTCAAACTCCCTTTGTGCCTTCTAACCTCGCTAGGATATTTGTGCTCCTATAGAACACCCTTGCTTGGAGCTGGGCACAGTGGTGTACGCCTTTAATCCCAGCACTAGGGAAGCAGAGACAGGTGGATCTCTAAGCTTTAGGCCAGCCTGGTCAACAGAGCTAGATCCAGGACAGCCAGGGCTACACAGAGAAACCCTGTCTCAAAAGCAAAACATAACAAAAACAGACAGTGTTGGGAGCAGTGAGACCCCAGATCCTGAATTTCTTGTAATCCCCTGATCTGAGCGCCTACAGCTGCTCTGAGCACAAGACCTTCAGGAGTTCCTGATGGCAGGAGAGTGGTTTCTGTTGGGTTTGGTTGGGGCATGGCTATCTCTATATAATCTGCCCCTGAACACAATAAAGGGGGCATTCTTGGGGAATTCAAGGATGACCCTTGTTGCTGTCTCTCTGTCTGTGTGTGTCTGTGTATTTTAACCTCCAGTCCCCTTGCTCGTGAATTGGGTGCCAGCGCACAGAGCAGAGACACGGGGGCGCTGTGCGCGACAGACAAAACCGAACCATGGTCCAGCATCCAGGCTTTCCTCTTCTCCCCTTCTACTGAGTTTGCTTCTTCTCTGCTTTGTCTTCACGTTCTTTCCGGGTTTGAGATTCTCAGTCTCCAGTGTCTGCTTTCTCTCCTTATATTGTGTCAACTCTTTCAAGTAACCACAACCACACCTGTAGCTCTACATAACACTGACCTCCCAAGCCAATGCCTTCAGTTTAGACTGGCTGAGAGCCTCGGCGGTGTGGACTCCATGCTGTGTGTGTGTGTGTGTGTGTGTGGTATGGTGTGTGGTGTGGAGAGGTGTATGGTGTGGGATGTGTGTGGGGCCGTGTGTGTGTGTGTGTGTGTGTGTGTGTGTGTGTGGTATGGTGTGTGGTGTGGAGAGGTGTGTGGTGTGGGATGTGTGTGGGGCCGTGTGTGTGTGTGTGTGTGTGTGTGTGTGTGTAGCTGACAGAGCTCCTACTCAGAAGAACCCAGATGAACTCCCGTACACAGAGAGACGTCTCCCACTGAAAAAGAACAGTTTGTCCCTAAGTCAGGGAAGAAGTGGCACGGAAGGAAGAGCTGCGGCCAACAAGGCCAAAGCAAAGGTGAACTGGGAGTAAATATAGTGTACAACAATGCAAAGAAAGCCTTTGGTTTTTAAAGTTCTGTTTTGTATGTGCGTGTTTACTTCCATGAAGAAGACTCTATCCGCTAAGGTCTGAGCTGCTACGTCAAGAGGGCATGGAGAGGACGGGCTGGCGCAGTGAGTACAGTGATTGTCACACAGGCCTGACGACACAAAGCTCATCTCCTGCAGCCTCATAAACAGCGGTGCTCATGGTTCCTGCTGGGGACAGAGGCAGGGGATCCCTGGGGCTTGCTGCCCAGCAACACTACCCAAGCAGTAAGCTCCAGATCAGTAAGAGACTGTCTCAAAAAGTAAGATGGAGGAGCAACTTAGAGATCCATCCCCAGTCTCTCGTTCCTCTGTTCAGCAGACTGGGAATCTGCGCCTTGGCCCACCCTGCACTCTGACAGAGCAGCAATGGAGCTAGGGGCTCCTCTTCCTTGAGCACTGCAGACATCACTTGGGTCTCTCAGCCTTTGTTTCTAAGAGTGTGACATCAGTTCAAGAAGATCACTATTTTGTAGTAATTAAGAGTGTATTCAAACCTGCATCCTAGGCTCACATGTAAACCTTTATGTCCTTTCAAATATAGGCAGCCCAAACTTCAGCGCCTTGGGGGTATGGTGATGTGTGCTGGTAGTCTCAACTCGTGAGAGGAGGCAGCAGAATCAGTTCATCCTTAGCCTGGGCCATATGACACCATGTCGTAACCCCCACCCTGAAAAAATCCTCAGCATATTCTTTGGGGTTCTGCCCCTACCTCTGAGCCCACCATGGGAGCCATGGGGCAGTTCCAGAAGGGGCTGTCATCTGCATTGTTGGCAGCTTCCTGGATAGGCATACCTGCGAGGGCCTGGGTGGTTTCAAAGGTGTGCTGAAGTGAAAATGAAGGTTTGGGCTTTCATTTTGCACGTGGTTCTTCTGCACTAGGTAAACACTGAACCGCTTTCAGAGAGTACCCCAGTCTACTTCAGTGACAAGCGGGACTCACAGCTTCTGACAGGAAACGCCATTCCTGCAGCCACAACAAAGCCCTTTCTCCCTTAGGTTTTCACCGCTGAAGAAACAGAGTCTGCACCCAACATGCTTCCTGTGAAAGTTTTCACTAGCTGAGCAAGTCCTAGCCAGCACTGTCTGCAATGCACCTAACCCATCATTTCTCTTTATAGATATTATTATTATTATTATCCTGGGGCCACAAGACCACCTCAGCCTCCAAGACAGGGTCTCACTCTGCAGCTCAGGCTGTCCCGGAACTCACAGAGATCCTCCTGCCACTACCTCCTGAGTGCCACTAGGCCTGGCCTCTCTTTTGGTCTCTTGCAGTGGCTTACACAGGATGCCCTAGGCAGCAGGTGCTGTGCTACTTCAGGGGAGCAGAGGGCTCCACATGGCTACCCAAATCCCTTCAAAGCCCAACTCTGCCAGCACTTAGGTGACCTGGTCCTTTCTTCTGTCTCTCTGCCTCTGTTCCACCAATAAGAGACTCACGAGGCTTTTCCTGCCTCGGGAGACTTCTGCCTTCTACCTTTTCCTCATAGGGAGCTCCCAGCATGGAGAATGCCTCCATGTTAGACCAGCTTCTGTCGTCATTCTCTCTCCCCCGTAGCTCGGTCCTTCCCCACCACAGCATTTGCTACAATCTGTGATTACACTCTGGATCGTGTGTTAATTTGCTTTCTGACTGAGCTGCCTCTAGAAAATAGAAAATGTCTTGTTGGAGAAAAAGAAGAGCATAGTTCGGGGGCAGGCACAGAGGTGTTCCTGCAAAGATTTGTTCAGTGAGTTCACCATCTTCCACCGCAACCTCTCCTGTCATTAATGTCCTCCCGGAAGGGCTGTTCTAAAGAGAATACCTCCATTCACAAGGAAAACAAAGCATAGTCTCATAAAATTTATAAAAGCCAGGAGACTTTGTTTTTACAAACATATAAATTATTTTATTTACAAAGCCATGTTACAAAAAAAAAAAAGCAAAAAAAAAAAATACAATCGTTCAGTGGAGAAAAGCTTCCAGACCTGGTGCGGACCACAGCAGGATCACAGATACAGTTTCGTTCTTTCTTTGAAAACCTGTAAGCCATAGAGTTTACTATTTACACCTACTTCGGACAGGTATTTGCTTACAATGTCACAGGCATGGAATGGATTCTATCTGATAGTGCTAATCCGTAAAGGTGCGGGACGACGGAGGGAAATGCTTAGTGTTACAAAATGCGGATCATAGAAAAGAAACCCACGCCACGAGTGTGGCCTTGGTTGAGTAGGATCGGACATGCTCTCTTCAAAATTCCTCTGAAAAGCTTCTAAAATTGGTTAGTAGGAAAGGACAAATGGACAGGTGCAAATTCTAGTCTGTGCAACAATGGTTATTTAATTCACCCCATGACTGACCAGCTACATAAAACCCACAGAGTTTCGTTAAAGTGCCATGGGCTGACGGCATAACAAAATATAAGGTGTAAATAGAAAATTTCCTTTTTTCCTTTTTTGTTTTTTTTTAAACAAGAGTTCACTGAGAATCAGCAATAATAGAATACGCTGTATAAACTATTTCCTACAAAGGCTGATCAGCGTTATTTACAGTTGGTACATTGATACAAAAGAAGGCATACAAGTTATCCAACTCGATTTTTTGATTTTTAAATTTTATATGGCTGACAGGTCTATGTGGAGACTGAGACGAGTCAGGAGCTCCTCAGGCAGACAGGGGTGTGAGCAGCCAAGGGGCCGAGACGGAAGGCTGAGTGGGGCGTGGGGAACAGAAAGACTGGAAGGGACGACTCTCCTGATGCGGTAGGTGTTGGTCCAGTGGAATCCATGAGAACAAACACAGGAAATCTTTTCTTTGCATTCCATTAGTTTTTTTCCTAGCTACAAGCATTTTTTAAAATACATCAAAACGTAAACCCGGGGCTAACTGTGAACGAAGAGATACCGGGGTTTTTCCCTTTTTGCTCAGTTTTCTGGAATTGTCCTCACCTTTTGGTCAAAGCGGTCTCTCAAGAAAGTAAGCAGCATTAGGTGGAGAGCCTCGTTATTGCGGCTTCCGGTGCAAGACCCAGGGCGGACCTTGCTGAAGCCTGCTCGCTCCCTCAGCCTCTGTGAAGTCGCGGTTCCTCGGAAGCAGCATGTCACCTCTCAACCTTCGGTTTCCCTCTCTGAATAGAAGAGTTTAGGGGCCAGAGGCTTATTTTGTTGCTGAGACTTGTTTTGTTTTTAATCCCGCGAGTTTTACAACTCAAAATAAATTATGTATTTATATTTATATTTATATATATATAAAACAAGACATCTAAAACCGAACAAGACAAAAATTGTGCAAAAATAACAAAGATATATACACACTTTTGAGTCTGAAGAAATGTACAATAAAAACATAATTCAAAGAACATTTTAAAAATATAAACATTGCTCAAACTTTCCGAAGTTTCATATTGTTTCTGAAACTATTCTGGTCAGTTAGCTCTGTAATATAGTAAAACATAAATTATTACAAAATTAACACTATAAAAATTTACTTTAAGAATATCTTCTAAACTTTTTTCAATGGATCTAACCTTGTTTATAATTTCTTAAACATTTATAAGTCTTAAAATCTGCCTTAACCTTAAAAAACAACAAATATCCCCCAAACAAAAAAGTAACAATCACCCCTTAAATTTGCAGCCCCCCCACCCGACGTAAATTGACCAGCATATAAGTGCACTTTTAACACTGGAGAAAGAAAAACGAAATAACCCAACCAATGTCCTGGTGCTTAACGTCAACTCCCGACTTAAAAAAAAAAAATCTTCATTTTCTATTTAAAAATTTAAGAATCCTGTAAGAAACACTGTCAGTGCAAGTCCAGTGATGGACATCACTCCTTTTTTCTCCTCCTGTCTTTGCAGATTCCAACTCTGTGGTGAGACTTAACATTAGTCTGATCTTTGGGTTGGGAGAAGAGGAATGGGAAGGACATCTTTGGGGAGGGACAGGGGTGTGCCCAGAGGCAAAACTAGCATTCACTTCTGATTTCAGGATGGCACAGGCGGGCGTCTGGCAGATCAAAGCCGGAGTACCTGTTCCGTGTACCAAACTCTCTTTCTCATTCCCCATTGGAGCTGCTGTTTCTTTCAAGACTCCAACATGAAGGGCTTAATAGCCGTGGTGCTCCGGTGCCTCCCTGCCCACGCCTCTTCTCTATCTCTGGTTGGTCTGTCTGAGTTGGAGCCCCTGAGGATGGAGGGCAAACTTATCTAGGGTGGGGGTTTGCAACCAGTAATAGTTCTTATTCCCACAAGGAGTTTGGCACAAAACCTCCACGCAACCAGACTTGTCTCTGGAGGACCCTTCCTGACCCCAGAACCTTCCTGATACCTCAAGAATTTTCAGGAGCTATGGTCACAGTACCACCTTATGAAGTGACTTCCCTAGGTCCTGTGGGCCTTCTGTCTCTGGCTGATCCAGCTTAAGGAAACTGTGCACTGTGCCCTACTTGGAACGGACTCTTCAGAGTATATTCCAGACAAGCTCTGACCATCACAATCATTGGGTTCCACCATCTCAGGTCCCTTCTACCCTTTTACCCTTCTACCTGACCTGGTGAATCTTTTCTGCACAGTTGGGCCTTGGCATTGAGTAAGCCACACCATGAAAGGGCCACTGACCTCACTCTAGTGGCTGGCATTTGGCTCTGGACAAGGAGAGCTGCGGAAGGTCCACTCCCAACCCCACAGTGTACCTCCAAGCACAGGCTCCTCCCCAGCGTGTGGTCCAGAGCTGCCGGTGGGTGGGAGCTAGCAGCTTCCGATGGCCTCCGGAGCACAGTGACCCAGAGGTGGAGAGGAAGGGCAGGGTGGGAAAGGACTCGGGAGAGCGTGAGCTCTGCAAGCGCTAAAAGTTCAAGAGCTTCCGTGGGTGCCAACCTGGAACCGGAACCCGGAACTGGAACCGACAGTTTGCACCTCTGTGCTCAGGAGCAAAATGACGGTGCACTAGCAGCATCAGGAGGAAGGGGGTAACCCCGAATGTGGAAGAATGTATAAGACATGACAAGTGAAAACAGAGAAAACACTGTTTCTGTAAATCTCACATTCAGGCTCTTTTGCCTTGTCTGTCTGTCTTTCTTTCTTTCATTCAACTAAAAATCCATGTTAAAAAAAAGAATTAGAAGAAGAAATGCCAGAGCCACAAGCAGCGTCCAAAAATCACTCCCCCCACAGACCTCCCTTCTCCCGACTTAGTCTCCTGGGAAGGATGTCCACCGGAACTGGTTAGAAGTGGCTTCACCATCTTGTTAGGGAAGAGTCCTTATCCTGCCCATTCTGCTTGTGTTCTTCTAGAAAAGAAAAAGAAAAAAAATGTGTCTCATTCAGGGTGATCCATGAAAATCCAGGAGGGCACCTCCGTTTTCTTGTGTGTCACAGAACGGAGAAGAATCCACTACCTGGATGTGGCTAAGAGCAGCCACACTTTGTAACTAAGAGGACGGCTATTAAGACATCCATGGTTAGTGACGGTAGCTCCAAGGCTGGAAACGTGGGGACAAGAGCGTGGCTTTCATGGGCTCTCTCCTGGATAAAGGGCTGGGATAACTGCATGTTTTCTCTGTGCCTTCCTTTTTATTGGTTCATTTTTTTCAATATATTATGAATGACACAGTTAGCTAATGAAGGTAGAGCCCTGGGTTAAACAGGTTTTGGAGATTTGGGGTGGGTGTGGCTAATTTCGGTGTGACTCAGCTTCAGCTGAGTACAGCCTTGTTCCTCCAGTCACTACCTGCTGCTTGTGTTTGCTACTCCTTCTGTGAGGCGTAACTGCCTCCCTCGCCTTTTCCCCAGGCCTGAGCACATAGCCCTTTGGAGAAAGTCACTGATCTCTGGGTTTACACATTGATCACTCTTACTTCTCCTAAGTGAATCAAAACATAACGGTCATTACAGCCTAACACTTGACTTTGCTACGTGCTAGAGTGTTTTAGCTATTTTTCAGAGACTTTACATCAATAAGCTGGTTTAACCTCACATAGGTCATAGAACCTTGGGGACCATCATGATCCTCACTTTATAGAGGAGGAAATGGGGGAAGCAGATTGCTCAAGGACCCACAGCTAATAACAAGAAGGTCCATGTTTGGAAGCCAGGTTATCTGCTCTGCTGGAGGTGAGATTTGAACTTCCGACACCAGCGCACGTTCTTACTGGTCTGACGTTGGCTCTGTGTGGCTTCCCCCACCCCTAGAAACTTACCTGACGGCTGTGTCCTGGGCTGGATAGGCTTGCAGGGCTGGATTGGGACAAAGCTAGGCTGCTATTTTTTCCAACCTGAAAGACACCGTGAACTCCCATTCAGACACGGAGGCAAACAAGAAGACCCTCTGATGCCATATGTTGTCAGGGCAGGCAGGGGAGGAGTGCGGTACTACAGGTCTTATTCCCTCGATTACTCGGAGTGGATGCTTCCCACTTAAATGGCAGAAAAAGGAACTGCAGTTTAAGGGCACTTTTAAGAGGTCCCTCTCCCAGAGTTCTTAATTTCACCCCTCGGATATGCACAATGCAGGAGGCACGGCTTATCCCTCTGCAGCTCAAGAGACCACAAGCTCATGCATCTCTGAGCACAGTGCAGGCCCACCGTGCTTCTAGCCCTGGCTCCTCAGGTCTGTCTGGCTAGGGGGTCCAGGATTCAGCCTCTGGTTCTTCAGAAAACCAGTTATGCTGAGCTGCTCTTGCATGTGCGGGGAAGGAGGGGAAAGGGTACTTTGTCCTGCCTGGCAGGGTCCCTGGGATGGCAGGCCTGGGGTCATAGATGACCTCTCTTTGGGTCTGTCCTTGTCCCCTGGTGCGGTGGGCTCTGAGAAGAGCTGGTGCCAGGGTCCAGTCCCATGGTTCCAGCTCATTTGCAAAGGGGGCTCTTGCCCCCAGCCTCCAAACAGCCCCTCCACTATCTTTGCTCCCCCTTTGAACACAGGCACCCACCTTTCGCTCTGAGTACTGCTCTGTGTCCCGTTTAATACCCTGGTGGAAGTTTGGGGCCTTTTACTTCCCAGACACAGTTAGGAGAACCTGAGAGTTCTCTGCGAGGCACAGAGTCTCATTTTGGATTTCTTTTTGAGTCAGGATCTCGTGTAGCCCTGGTTGGCCTGGAATTCACTGTGTAGCTAAGGACGACCTTGAACTCCTGATCCTCCATCTTCCCATTGCTGGGCTGCTGTACCTGGCTCTCATCTTGGGTTTCTGGAGCTTTCCTCTCTGCGTTCTAACAGAACCAACACAGCTGCCAGAGGCCTTTTCCTTTTCCTAAGACATGGAAATAAATGCCCAGGGGTGACTCCAGCCAAAGCCTTCTTTCAGTTGCCTGGTTACAAGCATCGCTGTCACCGTGTTGAGGGTTGGTGCAGCATGGCTCCTGGGGCACATTCTCAGGGAGGCTCATGGGCTCTTCTGCTGCTAGCTGGGCTGACTCACCGTGCCGACTGAGTGTTACAGACAGTCTGGGAGCCAAACAGCCAGCACTCAATACCCAGGCCCTTCAGGCTTGACAGGAAGACCCAAGAGCCCAGAGTCAACTCCCAGGTTTAGGACTCTGCTCTGCTGTTTGCTTGCTGTGTGACTTTGGGAAGCTCGTGTAAGTTCTCTACGCCTTGCTTGGCTCATGTATATAAAAATGGGTTAATAGCAGGTTAGGTACTGAGTTCCTGGACCTCAAGGGTTTGGGGACAGAGACCATCAGTGACGTGTAGTCGGCCAATAGAAGTTTATCTAAAATGAGGAAAGTAAGGCAGCTTTGCTGCAGCAGGGAAGATCCACAGGCATGGGGAAGCAGCTCCACCTGTTGGCTCCCCCGCGACTCTGCTCTTACTCCCAGCCTGTTCACCCTCAGCCTGCCTTTTCACAAGACCCCAGTGTATCTGTGCGCATGCATTCCAGTATAAGAAGCTGTGTGCCTCCTTCTGAGTCTACAGAAGACCCCGGTTAGCAATCCAGTCTCCAGGTAGGATCTGGAGGGTGCCAGCTAGACGTGACATTAAGTGACCCACGTCTCACCATGGCCAAGGCTGCAGCTGTCTGGCCCTTGCTCGTGTGTGCTTGTGAATCCCTCCCAGAAGGTGCTCTTCTTGGGGCTTTGCTGAATGTCTTACATGGTGACACAAAACAGTGGTTCTCAACCTGTGGGTCGAGGCCTCTTGAGGGGGCAGGGTCGCAGATCAGACACCGAAAAGTAGCAAAATTACAGTCATGAAGTAGCAAGACAATTTTATGGCTGGGGGTCACCACAACATGAGGAACTGTATGAAAGGGTCGTGGCATTAGGAAGGTGGTGACCCAGAGCATTAATGCATCTCCTCCCCCCCCCCCCCCCTCTCTCTTTCTCTCTCTGAATTTCCCATCTCTAAGCAGGGCTAGTCTTAAGGTCTATTAGTTCCCTGGCGAAGGGTGGTTCTCAAAGCCCATTTGGAGGAGGCCGAGGAACCTGGGATCCTTCCCTCCAGCTCCTAGCTCCCATCAAGTAGAGGGTTGTTATCAGCAGCTCTCCCAGGCTGCATAGGTAGCCCAAATTTGGGGAACAGGAGCAGAGTTCAAGGAAAGATACAGCTATTCTTTGGCCAGCCACACCTCCCAGCTTCCCTACCGTGCACACTCTTGTGGGTATCCTGGCACTGAGTGCTTCTCTTGCTAGCTCTGCCTTGCTGGGTGCAAGGGGCACTTTTGCTTTAGGAAGGGAGGGAGGTTGAGGCAGCCTGAGGTGAGGACAATCACCTGGAAGCTGGGAGATCAGGCTACCACTCTCCAGGGATGGGGGGGGGGCTGAAATCATTTAACCAGTCAGTGTCTCAGGCTCGTCCTGAGGGGATCCAACAGATCAGATCAAACTTCTTAGCAACAAAACGCTTTAATGAAGTCGTCCTTGGAACCTCAGAATATGAAACAGACAAAAGGAATGGGGGAACTCAGAGCCTCTTTGGGGTCCCAGTTTACCCATCTGTAAAGTGACGACTGTTTTTGTGCCCCCATGCTGGGCTGGCATGAGGACTAAAGGAAGTGAATACTGTAAAGTCCTGCACACAGGGACCAGCAAAGTGAGGGTCTCACTGACTGTAAAGTGCTGAGCACAGGGACCAGAAAAGTGGGTCTTACTGACTGTAAAGTCCTGCACACAGGGACCAGCAAAGTGAGGGTCTCACTGACTGTAAAGTGCTGCACACAGGGACCAGAAAAGTGAGGGTCTCACTGACCATAAAGTGCTGCGCACAGGGACCAGCAAAGTGAGGGTCTCACTGACTGTAAAGTGCTGCACACAGGGACCAGCAAAGTGAGGGTCTCACTGACCATAAAGTGCTGTGCACACTGATTGTAAAGTGCTGTGCACAGGGACCAGCAAAGTGAGGGTCTCACTGACTGTAAAGTGCTGCGCACAGGGACCAGAAAAGTGAGGGTCTCACTGACTGTAAAGTGCTGTGCACACTGACTGTAAAGTGCTGCGCACAGGGACCAGCAAAGTGAGGGTCTCACTGACCGTAAAGTGCTGTGCACACTGACTGTAAAGTGCTGCGCACAGGGACCAGCAAAGTGAGGGTCTCACTGACTGTAAAGTGCTGAGCACAGGGACTAGCAAAGTGAGGGTCTCACTGACTGTAAAGTGCTGCGCACAGGGACCAGCAAAGTGAGGGTCTCACTGACTGTAAAGTGCTGCGCGCAGGGACCAGCAAAGTGAGGGTCTCACTGACCGTAAAGTGCTGTGCACACTGACTGTAAAGTGCTGCGCACAGGGACCAGCAAAGTGAGGGTCTCACTGACTGTAAAGTGCTGCGCACAGGGACTAGCAAAGTGAGGGTCTCACTGACTGTAAAGTGCTGCGCACAGGGACCAGCAAAGTGAGGGTCTCACTGACTGTAAAGTGCTGCGCACAGGGACCAGCAAAGTGAGGGTCTCACTGACTGTAAAGTGCTGCGCACAGGGACCAGCAAAGTGAGGGTCTCACTGACTGTAAAGTGCTGCGCACAGGGACCAGCAAAGTGAGGGTCTCACTGACTGTAAAGTGCTGCGCACAGGGACTAGCAAAGTGAGGGTCTTACTGAGAACCCTCAGAGCAGAGGACGCGCACTGCCTATGGGGAACCTGGGGAAAGGAGCCATGCTTATGTTGCCTGTCTGAGCCACCTGGCCAAGCAGGGGCACTGCCCAGCTCCCCCTGCCCCCCAGAGCCGATGAAGGCAGTGCCAGGATCTCCCTTACCTGCCGAGAGGAGGTGCTGTTAACGGGATCGGGCACCGGTGCAAGAAGGCTGGGTGGGTTCTTTTTGTGGACACTATTCATACCAGGCATTTTAGTGATCTTACAGGCTTTGCTACTAGGGCTTGAATTCTTACGCTTTTTTCCTTCTGATTTGTCAAAAGAGAGGGGCAGAGAAGACACGGCGTTGTGTGAGGCCAGAGAGAGGTCCCCCGCGTGGAGCGCAAGGGCGGGCACAGAGAGGGGACAGGGGCCACTGCTGCCACCCACAGCGCCCACCTGTCTCACTATGTCCATGGGGCTGCTGGGCAATGAGGTCCGTCCTGAGGGCTCCAGCTTGGCACTGAGTGGGCTCACCCCATTGTTTGTGTGCACAGACAGACTGTTGTAGGGAGGGGCTGCCTGATAGGAGTTCAAGGAGGAACTGGCGTTCAAAACGCAGTTCTTTCTGTGGGGCCCTGGCAATGGGGATGAGAAGGAAGCCTGCAATGACAAGGAGGAGGAGGAGGAAGTCGAAGACTGTGGCTTCCTCTTTTTGTTACTTGGAGATTCGTCGCTACGAGCTGACAGGTCTTTGACTTTTGAGGATTTGCTGGTTTTGGTTTTGGATGGCTTGTGGGACGGGGAAGGAATGACAGCTGGTATCGGGGACACGGCGGAGGGGGCCTTGAAGGTTGAGTCCATGATGCTGAGGGTTGCAGCCACATGGGGAAAAGCTGTGGTGTGGGACATGAGGACGCGTGGGTCCGGCGATGCCACAAAAGCCGCGTCTGAGAGCATGGTGGATGTCATTATGTAAGAAGAGGTGAGTCTCGAGCTGATGGGAGCTGAAGGAAGATACACAGCACTGGGCTTGCTGAAAGGCTGCAAAACGGGTGCTGGAACAGGGGTGGTGATGTGGGCGGCTGGCGAGGGCATGGGGCTATCTGCCGCAGGAGGGATCTTCCTAAACACGAGAGAAGAGCCAAAGAGAAACAGTGAGACGTCGGGTGGGCATTGCCTGGGGGGGAGGGGGCCGGGTGAGCTTTGGTCGGCAGGGCTACAGAGGACACCCGGTAGGACCAGACTATGGAGAATGAAGCCTTGACGGATGGTGAGAACTGGAGGATGGCTCTTTCCTACGCTGGCCACTAACACAACATCAGCACCCGTCTCCACGCCTCAGACCCTGCTCTCTGTGCTCAGCGACTTAAGATCTGGGTTCACGAGGAAACGGCAAATGCTGTCAAGACTATAAATGTCCTGAGCAGTCTCCCCGCCCTCACACACCACTAGCCGTGATGAAAGTGGTTTTCAGAGAGGAGAAAAGGCCTCGGCCACCTGGGCATGCCCCCCTCTCCTCACTGCAACCTCTTCCATTCCTCTTTCCCATGCTACCTTTGGCTGGAGATATTCTGAAAAGAAACCATCTCCTAACTTGTCAGCATTCTTTTCTGCTGGTTGCCCAATGCCTCTGGCTACTCCATAGAGAGGTATTTCTCTTTTAGCTCATGGCCACTCGATTGTGGTGGCCAGGAAAAGTCGAGAACTTGGAAAATGATATCAAGTTGCCCATCTCTCTCTCCCTCACCCTACTTCAGTGGGGTTGACACACAGATGCCCTACAACCAAGTCCTCCTGCTCCTGGGCTGGGAAAAGGCGATAGTTCTGGACCAGTGTGCCCAGAGGGGATCAGGAATTTAGATACGGGCAGAAGGCCAGCCTGTGAACAGGGGCTCAGAGAGCCACTGCTTTCTTAGAACTGATGGGGGATGGAGCCTGAGGGCGAAGTCCATGGGCTAATGCCAGCACCAGGCAGGCAGGTATCATTCTTAAGGCCTCTGCATGTATTTCTGTTTTTCAGACAGAGTCCCACTATGTAGCCCCAGTCTTGAATTTGTGGTCTTCCTGCCTCTATGTGTGGGATTACAGGTATGTGAAAGCACCTAGCCATAAAACTCTGCCTTCTGGCATGTGCTGTAAGGGGCTCCATGTGTATCTTATGACTTAGGTCCATGCTGCTGCTACTCTTGCGACCCAGAGATGGTAGCTACGGCAGCTATGGGATCACAGCTGATTCTGAAAGAAGCAAGTGGTGTGAGGAGCCAGAGAATGCTTTGTTATTTTCTGCAGAGCTTTCTGCTTGCTCCCCAGTGTGTGTCTTCAGGAGATTTCCTTCTCTGAGGTAAGTCCCTTCTCCTCCGCAGGCCACCCCCAGCTGAGAAGAGGCCCTCTCCTGGCATTCCCCTCTGAGGATCATTTGTCTGTCCCTTGTTGGAGAGCCTGCAGCTTGGCTTCCATCTCTAGAGTGGAACCCAGCAGCATCCTTCAGTGCGGAAGCACAGTGTCTCTGAAACTGGCAGACCAAGGAGATCGAATACAAAAGTGTTGCCAAACCCCAGGCAGTCGTGATGGCGTCTGAGAGCTTCCTTCTTCTCCAGCCCCTGGGGACCTCAGAGCTCCTGCCATCCCTAAGTAAGATGTTGCACAGATAGATCCCGGCTGTGATGGATGAATGAGGGTATGGACAGATGGATGAGGGGGCAGAGGATGGGAAAGCAGGTGATCTGAGCAGCAACACAACTGTATTGTCAGGGACTATGCATGCTGGGCAGGGATTCCCAGGGAGTCAGGCCCTGAGGGTCGGCACACATCCTCACAACTTGTCTGGCCCTGCACAGCCCTTCCCTGAGAGGATGGGGACTCTAACAACTCCTCTGCTGTTTTTGTGACCCTACTGTAATACTGCAGGTGCCCCCACCGCTACAATGTGCACCCTAGGGGAATTTACAAGTCCCAGGTCATTAATTTACTTAAGGGGGGTGGGGCTTCACTTTGGGACCTTCAATGTCCCGAATGTTGGGAATCTTAATGTCCCAATTTATATTTTGCTCATTAAGCAGTATACATACTTCAAATTCTGTAGACAGGCAGAATTGAAGTCCTAAATCTTACTTGGCCCCTGCTCCAGACTGGAATGGCTGCTACTTCTGCTATATTTTCTAGACTTTTCTTTCCTCTCCTCTCCAACCCTCATTGGTAGAGGAGAAGTGGGAGGCGGGGCAGTCCCTGAGAGCTTTCTTCCCAACGCTAAACAGTTTCAGTGTTCCCTGGGGGCTCAATGGGAGGGGGTTTCACCTTTGTGGGGGCTGCTGACTTAGGCTTTGCACCCTGGCCTACAGGAAGTCCCACATAAAAGCCCAGAGATGTAAATACACTCCTGACAGCTCCCGTCCTCCCCTTGCCAGCTGCCGTGGAGATCCAGATGCTGACCTGGCTGAAAGAGAATACTGTGTTGGCGTCTCCTGATGCAGAGTTAAATGCTTGTTAAAGAAAAAAGAGTCTTGGCCGTTCCTTTTCTTCCTAATGTCTTCCATGCCCCCATCGGCTGCCATCCCTCCAGGTTCGGGCCCATCAGGGCCTGGAGTTTGGGCCCCGAGGCTGAGAGGGCAGCGGGGTGCTACGCTCTCCAGGGTTGACACCCAGGCAGCCCCAATGTTGCTCAGTGACAGCAGATTGGTTAGGCAAGTCCTGAACAGAGGGGAGGGACCTGATGCCCGGTGGCTCGGGCTTCTGTGCCTGAGGAGGAAAGGAACATGGAGCTTGAGCTGACAGTATACCAGCGCGCAAAATACAGACCAACACATTCCTTCCACGTGCCAGGGATTCACACTTCCGTAACACAGAGGGCCCGCAGCGCTGGGAGAATCACCAGCACTGGCTGCCGTGTTTGGAAGCTAAGGCAGAGGGCCAGGTCATCTGATAACCAAGAACTACATGATCCCTGTGCTGGACTTTCTGAGATCTTCAATGCATACAAACAGGAGCTAATGATGCCCTATAGACAGGCAGGGCAGTCGCCCGTGTGGGAAGACATAAGCTTCTCTTTTGGCCCTTTCCTAGTTGTATAACAACATCTATCCTAAGTCCCCTGTGAGTCCCCTGTGAGAAACAAGGCGGGGCTCAGGTCTACGTGTGCAGAGGGGCTTGGGAGAGGAGAAGGCTGTGGGTTCTGTTTCCTGTGTCTCAGGGTGTCCTGTGGCCTCTCCTGGGCCTCACTGGGCAGGCTCAGGGTCTCAAATGCTTTGGGGCCCTAGTCTGACATGATCCATCCTTTTAGCGGAGTACACCAAAGCTCCCTTAGGAGGAACGGGGGGTGGGGACACTCGGAGCTCGGCTAATAGGGTCAAAGTGTAGCTTCTCGTCTGCCATGGTTGAGAGGGTCCAGGCCTACTGGGACTTCTGAAGAGCATCCTAGGTGTCTCCCCTTTCTGTAAGTACCTGTAGAGTGTAAGTGTGTTAGGAAATGGTGTAGACACTGGATAATAAACTGCAGGTCAGAGAAAGAGAAGGAGAGGTGAGGAGAGGGCCCTAGGGAGACGGGAAGGGCCAAAGACAAACTTAACCCACTTCACAGCGCCGTTCAGAACCTGCCCTTTTAGACAACTGGACACAGTTTTTAACGAGAACAGCAACTAGCTAGAAATTTGTAACCATTATGAAAATTTTACTATTGCTCCTGAACCCTTAACATCACAAACAGAAGCATATTCTTGACATCTTTAGATAATCTGAAAATAATTAAAAAAAAAAACAAAACAACAAAAGCCTATAATCTCATAGAATAGACAAGATCTTACCTAAGATCCTTTTCAACTGTTGAGAAGCTTACCAACCCAACCGTCCCAAGAAGACAACCCAAACAGCACATTATAGGTACCCTAGAAAGCTGTTCATTAACACTGACATTTAGAACCGATCAGGATCCCTGATAAGCCAAGTATTGGGGCTTGTTCACAGAGTTTGGGCTCAGATAATGGCAAGGCAATTGTCAACTTAGACCACAAAGAAACGGCTTACTTACTTCCACATCTGTGAATTCAAGTGTTTCTCTACCATGGAGTTTAGTGCGAACCGAAACCGGTCCCATCTTCTATCAAAGACATAGTACCCTCGTCCCATGAGGCGACTCCCGAAAGAGCAGAACTGTGAGGGGGAAAAGAAAAACATTTTAATTGTGACTACAGGTTAATAAGCTAATATGAAGCACACAGAGAAAAATAACATTTGCATAAAAACACACAGGGGTACAATTTTGCTCAGAATAAAATAAGCGACTGGTACTGAAGCCAAAAATATTTCTGTGGCGCGGTAGATGGAGCTGTGGATCCCAGCAGAAGCTCGCATTTAAGCCAGCGATTGCGCCACTCCGAGAGTCACACGCGTTACCTCTAAGATGGAGCCAGTGTTTTAGGATAGAAAACAAGAGGACAGCTACGTCCAGAGAGGCTTTGCAGCTCCAGCTCTTCATCACACCACCCATTATCTCCAGGAACACGGGGTTCCCTGCCTCCCTTTCTTCCGGGAAAGAGGATGGATGACTCCTCCTGTCTGCGGCCACAGAGCCAACCGCTTCCTCCCTCCGGGAGCTGCCCTTCCATGCCAGTCCCAACTGCATCTGCACCATTTCATTTATTTTTATGTGCTTTGGTGCTTTGCCTGCATGTAGGTCTGTGTGAGGCTGTCAGAGCTTGGCGTTACGGACTGAGCTGCCATTTGAGTTCTGGGAAGTGAACTTCCTCTGTGAGAGCAGCTGGTGCTCTTAACCACCAAGCTATCTCTCCAGCCCTTAAAACACATCTGTTGTTATTGTTGTTTTGTTTCGGTTTTTTGAGACAAGGTCTCGCTATGTAGCTCTGGCTGTCCTGAAACTCACTATGTAGACCAGGCTAGCCTCTAACTGACAGAGAACCGCCCGCTTCTGCAACATCTGCCCTCTTTATCTGCTCTCCGAAGATGCCAGGGGTGCACCACCCCTCTGAGCCCTTACCCAGTACCCTCTGCCTGATGTTTCCCACTTTGGCAATTACAGTCCTACCCTTTGATGCTCATCTTGTAATTCCCATGGCTAATGGCCTCGTCTGACTGATCCTCCCACTGTGGACACCGACAACACATCTACAGTACATTACACTACATTTCACTTAGACTCATTATAGCATAGATGGAATTACATATGTGGTGGCTATCAATCTATAGCTTGTGGGGACTTCATTTTCTTCCTCCTCAGTCTAAGGATCATTGAGATTAGGAATTAGAAAAAAAAAAGAATTTTAAGATTTAGGAAGCTGAGGAGGAGTTCAAAGCCAACCTCAGCTACATAGTGAGAGCATCTAAAAAATTCTTTTTAAAAAGTGGACTGGGAGAAAAGGTTCCAAAGAAATGTCTAAAATAAACCACTGCATTTAACTTACAACTAAAATATCAGGAATGTAGTAAGCACTGGCTATAAGGCAGGACACCTGAGGGCCAGTAGACAGAAATGTAAGAAGCAGCCTCTGGGAAGGTGACATTTGCTGGGTCTAGAGCTCAGGGAAGCCTTCAAATGACTCTATAATTCAAATGGCACCTTCACATACCCCCCACCCCCAGGCCTCCAGCAGCTCCCTGGACGCAAGCCCAGATCAGTGCTGGATTGGCACCCGTTCCACAAATGCATCCTGGACCCAGCCTTTGAGCAGTTCTCAGAAGGATCTAACTGCAAGGTCTTCCATTTGTTCTGCTTCTGCTTGAGTTGGGGGGGGGGGAGTTGATATTAAAACCTTGCTACCCACAAAATCTGATACCGCAAATTATTTACTATGGCAAGTTCTTACTGACCAAGGAGGAAAACATACAGGGGAAGTCTTCAGCTCAGAAGCTGGCCTCCACCTGTCTGAGGGAGCTGCTCCTAGGGTACCCATCACCTTCTCTCGTGTCCCAATTGCTAAGGACACATTGAGCAAGAGTTTATTACCAAAAAAAAAAAAATATGATTTAATGTGTCAGTTGGCCATGAGAAAAAAAGGACAAAGCAAAGACACAAACCCACAGGTTTTTCCATTTTAATCAGCAGAACATTAAGGGCCTATGAATGCCCTGTAGATGTGGCTAATTTTCTATAACAGCTTGCCCTGTGGACAGACGTCTTGATGCTCTTCAGAGCCTGGCCTTTTGGGAGGGGCCAGTATCTCTTTCAGACTCAGAAGCTGGAGTCCCCTTTGGTTTTGGCTTCCAATGTATCTAATAGCACTTAGATGTGAAGCCAGACAGTGAGAGAAGCTGGCACCGTGGGCCTCTGGCAGAGCGGCAGACCTCTCTGCTGTGCCCTCATCTCCAGCATCCTGACTTACGTGACCCTGTCTTCCTGCTAACACCAGCACACTTCTGACTTGATACCTTGTGTGCAGCAGTAACAGAGAAGATGTGTCTCCTCTCAGACCTCTGGATGAGGCACAGCTGGGTCACTACACTCTGTCCTTTCTCTGCCCCCTGCCAGAGCAGCAGTAAACATGTAACAGACGTCTGCGTATACGGAGATGTCTGCTGGGCTTTCATGGAAAGCTCTTGTTTTGTGATGAAGAAAGCATAGCATCTCAGAAGACTCCTTTTCCCCTATGTCCCCTCTCTTCCCGTTTAGAATGCCACTAGGTGACAATGGAGCTGCAGGGGATGTGTTAACACGTGAACAGCCAAGGTATTTACAGATAGCAGAGAGGTTGAACCAAGATCGCAAGGGCACCGACTTCTAGACTTCCTACCATGTGAGATAATCTTGTGTGAATATGGAGGCGCCGGGTTTTCTACAACTGTAGGCAAAACCATTACAGCGAGTCCCCCACTATTTCTGTTCTGGCACAATCTCGGGTTATAGGTGAGCCATAGGTCGACATCATCTCCAGAAAGGGGACGTGACTTACACGGAGGAGAAGGGGCCAGCCTTGTCTTCCAACAGGACTGGTTTCTTTGATAAAGCCCCTGAGGTCTGAGTCAACCAGAGTTAATCCTGCAGACTCAGGCAAGCACCAGAATGAACCACTGTGGAGACCATATATTCCCAGGCCCCAGCACTGGGATGTGTGGCTGTGGATCCCACCAGCCACTTCCTTTCTCAGGGGGTTTGTGAGGCAAACGTGAACAAACTTCCAACCAATGCCTTAGTTTCCCCTCTGGCATGGATGACCATTTGAACTGTTGGAGCGTGCTCCTTCAGACAGCTTTTGTTAGCAAGCCGCTAACAGAACTAACGTGAAATACTGCCCTCGCCACCCGCTCTGCTGCCTGCCGTGTGGTCATACTGCTTACTAACAACAATGACACAGAGCCGTCCGGGAGACTGAGCCTGAGTTGCTGCTCAGACAGCTTCAAGAGCAGGTGTGTCTGGCCAACTCTTGCCCAGAGGCTCTGTTTTCAGACGTGCAAAGTCCAGTTGGCTACCAAGCAGTTTTAAAAGATGACAGCCAGTGGGGAACCCCTCCCTTTCCTTCCGTGGTCAAGAACATCTCTAATCCCATTCAGCCTTTGGGATGACACGCTACTATGGAATTTCCTTAGGAATTCAGGCCTCTGTTGCCATCACCAAGTTGCCTTTGAAGCACAAGGGCCAATAGGGACGGGACAGAGGAGGCCTACCGCGAGAGGTCTGGGGTGGTGCGCGGAGAACTGACAGGCTAACTTCTCGGACTCCTCGGCTCCGTCCATCTCCCCTTCATCACTGGACAGTCGGCTGGCAAGGTCACCTCCAGCTGGGGGCAGAGGGGGCTCCGGGGTGTAGGCGCTCTGATTCGAAGATGTACTGCTACTTATGCTGTTTGCAGATGACGGTCTAAGGGCGGGAGGGAAGAAGACATGGGTTTTCTTGAGGAAATCAGAGCCACAGATTCCATGCCACCAAAAAGCAGTCCTCCCACGATGCGGGGAAGGGTGGGCCAATGGCAGTTTCCTACAAAGGAAAGAGTAAGCCTCAGGGGTTGGCAGCTTTCTATGATGGTCCACAAGGGTTTCGGTGCTTGTCCTCTGGCTGGCTGCCTCTGGATACAGTACAAGCCCAAGGGAAAAACTCAAGTGTGAGCCTGAGATGTGAGCTCACCCAGAGCCTGTCTTATGTGAGTTCAGCGACAAATACCCACCCACGACCAAGTGTCGCCATTGCTTGGCTTACATCCTTCCAGACTTCCTTAGTGTACACACTTGAATTTTTAAAAAAAAAAAAAAACCTATGCCACTTTTTCAGCAAGAACATGATTTGAGACAGGATCTCATGTACCCCAGGCTCTGAACTCCTGACCCTCATGTCTTTGCCTCCTGAGTGCTGGGCTCATAAACGTGTGCCACCCCATGCCCAGTTGAGGCAGTTCTGGGGACCAAAGTCAGGGCTTCAAGCATATTAGGCAAGTATTCTACCAACCGAGCCACACCCTACTAGCCTCAGCCCTCGGGACAGATTTATTTTAAAAATTATTATTTTATGTGTATGAGAATCTTGTCTGTAAGTATGTCCGTCTGTCACTTGTGTGCGCCTGTGTCTGAGAGAAAGCAGAATCCTCTGGAACTTGAGTTATAGGTGGTTGTGAACTGGGAATTGAATTCAGAATCGCTGAATCTCTGGAAGAGCAGCCATTGCTCTTAACCACTGAGCCAGCTCTCCAGTCTGAACACATTTTTTAAAACTTAGTGATGTAGAACTCCGTTTGTATATTATCATTTTTTTAATATCCTCCAGTAACATTTAATATCGATGGCACAATTTATATAGCTAAATCCTAAACATTTATTTCTAAATGTTCTGGAAGGCTCTTGGGTAGTAGTTCAGCCCATCTTGGCAGGACCACCTTGTCCTGCAGGATAAACGCGACCTGGAATTTGTTAATTGCATCTTGGTCATACTTTCCACTTTCCCTTTTCAAAGAAGTCTTTACCAGGGAAATGTCATCATCTATGCTATTCAAAAGACACTAACAAAAATGTATTATAATAAAATCTCAAAATGTCAAAATCAGGATAGGTAAGTTTTCATTAATATGTCACTACTTTCCAGTATGTAGGGGAATTTTTATAAAAAAATGAAAATGGACAGAAAAAGAGAGTGAGCAGTGCCACCCTGTAAGTAAGAAAGGGACTGAAGGATGTCCTGTTTTCTTCTTTTTATTTTTTGTCTACGTGCATCTTGTGAAATTATTATTTCAATCAAGTTAGTTAAAAAATTAACATACCTATCATTTCTTAGTGTTACCTCCTCTCACAGTCTACTAGGGATTGATCCAGGGCTTTAGGCAAACTAGAGAAGGGTCTACCACTGAGCTCTAACTCCAGCCTTCTTTTTCAGTTTTATTCTGAGGCAGTTTCGCTAAGGCTGTTCTTGAACTCACTGGGTAGCTTAAGCCAGTCTTGAGCCTATGGTTTTTCTGCTGGGGAAGACCTTGAACTCCTGATTCTCCTGCCTCTACCTTTAAAGTGCTGGGATTACAGGTGTGTGCTAAGAACCCTTCCTCCAGCATTGTGCTGTTTTTCTTTTACATAAATTCTCTTTACAATTAGCCCAAGCTATCCTTGAAGCCACAAACCTCCTGGCACAGCCTGTGGAGTGCTGGGATTACAGGCATGCATGGCTACACCTGGCCCCACATTTCTTTATGTATTCACCCACAAGCAGACACTTAGCTTGTTTTCATATCTTGGCGATAGTGAATGATTCTACAATAAACACCAAGTGCAAAGCTTCTGTTAAATGAAGTATAGGAATCACAGTCCCTCACCAGCTTCTCTCCCCAAATCCCACAACTAAAGGTACTTAAGGGTTTGTTGTTTTTTTTTTTTTTTTTTTGGTTTTTCGAGACAGGGTTTCTCTGTGGCTTTGGAGCCTGTCCTGGAACTAGCTCTGTAGACCAGGCTGGTCTCGAACTCACAGAGATCCGCCTGCCTCTGCCTCCCGAGTGCTGGGATTAAAGGCGTGCGCCACCACCGCCCTGCTTAAGGGGTTTTTAAAGAGGCAAGAAAGTCAAAGAACACAGAGCAGCAGAAAGACAGTGATTGTGACCCTGAATCCACGTGGGTCTTTTTAATTGTGTCTGCTAGTGATTGGCTTAGGTGAGTTGCAGAAAATCAAAGAACATTTATTGTGTGTGTTTGTGTGTGTGTGTGTGTGTGTGTGTGTGTAGGAACACAGGAAATCTCTGTCACATGTGTGTGAAGGCAGGAGGAAGTCTGTCTCTTCAACTCAGTTTTCCTATCAACCTTAAACTGCTTGGAATATAAATGATATCCAAGCGAATGGCTGAAGCACACAGATGGAATGGTCTCAGCTTCATCTGGACCTGGAACAGCAGTGGCCATCTTGCTACAAGATTTGAAAAATAATTCGAAGGATTTTTTTTTTCTTTTTTAAAAGGTGTGGGGGGGAAAGAGGGCCATTGAGATCCGCAGTGGTCAAAAGCACTGGCTGCCGGTGACCTGAGTTTAATATTCGGGAGCTACATAAAGGTGGGTGGAGAGAACAGACTCCATGGGGTACCGCTCCCCCAACACACACATGGAGGGGGAGAAAAGAAGAAACCCATCTCTGGGGTTTGGCACCCCTCACCTGTGGGTTCCTTGTCACACTCAAGATACATCATAAGGACACAAGTGTCCATAGCTCAGGGTTCTGCTATTCTCACCTGAACTGATACACGTCTGAGCAGGTTTTCGTAGACATTTAGATAATGTGGCTGGGGATAGGAAGCCCGGTACCTACACCTACTGAGGGGCTGCAAACCCTTCTGTTTAAGGCAGTAGGATCAGGAGTTCAAAGGCAGCCTTGGCTATATATTGAGTTCAAGGCCAGCCTGGGCTATACAGTGCAACCCCACCTCAATAAAAAAAAAAAAGTAAAAAAAAAAAGTAAACTATAAAGGAAGATGAAACATAGCTGAATACGTAGTTGGTTTCTGTACAGGTCATCTCCACATCTACCTGGCAGGACCCAACATTCTCAAGAGAAACAAAAGTCAGAGAAGGTGAACTGGAGAGGCCACAGACACAGGCTTCCAAGCACGTCAGAAAGCATGAGTGAGGTGCAGGCTGCAGACAGAAGCCAGGGGCTGTCCTTAAGGACAGGCACCTAAGCAGGCCCGACATCGAGCAGCATTCCAGCTGCAGGGAATCTTCCTGCCTGGTGACCAGATGCTCTCTTGGGTTGCAGCTCCACATGGAGGCTTCCTGCCAACTTGCTGGGACCTCTCTTCCAGGTGTGTATTGTCAGCAATAGCCTGGCATCTCTAGAGCTCCAAGGCTCAAAGGGGGACCCTCCCTCAAAGGAACAAGGTGGGTAGCAAGAGGAGGCCACTAGTGCCCTCTCTGGCCTCCAAGTACACACACACACATACACACACACACACACACACACACACAATCAATTAAGAATAAACTAAAAGACAATCTTTCACAAAGTACAACAAGGAATTTAAAGGAAAAAAAGTAAACTAAAAGATCAGGAAAAAAATGCCCAGCATTCAACTAAGAAGAAGACAAGAAATGGAAAATACAGACAACTGTGGGGCAAAAGGTATCTAAGATGCAACAGGAAAACAAGTACCCACTTCAACCAACTGAGAAGGAGCTACAGCCAGAGAGCTGTCTGTTGCCTGAGGTGTGATGGCGTTCTTCCTACTGCATGTACAGGAGCCTAGTCTGTTTGGATGCTCACCTTCCTAGACCTGGATGGGGGGGGGGGGGGCTTGGACTTCCCACAGGGTAGGGAACCCTGACTGCTTTTTGGACTGGAGAGGAAGGGGAAGGAGATGGGGAAGGGGGAGGGAAATGGGAGGAGGTGGAAATTTTTAATTAAAAATAAATTTAAAAAATTAAAAAAAAGAAAGGCAGAGGCAGGAGGATCTCGAGTTCAAAGCCAGCCCGGGCTGTCCAGTGAGCCTTGCTTTCCAAGAAGTGAAAGTAAATGATGAAAATTAGACACATTAGAGACACCCCTGAAAACTTTCAGTGCCCCAGGCTATGGAGGTATAAGTTTGTCAGGACAAAGAGATAGGAGTCAGGATGTTAAACTTCGTGGCAGAGACTCCCTGTGCCAGATATCGATGGGAAAATGGCTTCGAAATTCTGCAGGGAAGTGATTTCCAATCTAGTTGTATACTCAAAGAGATCATCTATTCAGTGTTAACGCAGAATGAAAATGTGCTTGCTGGGTAAGGACTCTAAAATTGATCTCCCACGAACCTCTTCATGGGCAGCCACCGAAGGAACTACTCCATCAAAGCAGAGAAGCAAGGCAGAGACAGGAACGCCGCAGGAGCCAGGAGCCGGCACAGCTGAAATACACCCACCCCACTGGCAGGAGCAGCTGTTTTTTTCTTCTGAGCTTTCTGGCACTATTTGATTTTTGAACTATGGAACCCATATATAACTTTGATAAAAATGAAGTTTAATTAAAGAAAAGATGGTTGAAACACTTGATAGTAAGTTCTAGTTGCCAGACAAAAGAGGGAAGGAGGTGGACAGAGGAAATTAGTGAGAAGGAGAGTGGAACAAGACCCAGAACTGACCGAATGGGCTCTGAGGTGGTCTGTGGGCACCCACAAACACAGGAGCGCCGATGAGATTTCTCTCTGTATGTCTGTCTGCATCCTCCTGGGGATGACGGGGTGGGGGACATTATTAGGGCCTCCAACTGAGTGCAGAACTCCAGGTGGAACCAGGAGGGGGCTTTTACGGGAAGCAGCCACACTTCAGAAGAAACAAGGCTTAGGAAGTGGTGGGAAGAAGTCACTAGAGTCTAGTGAGCAGAGTACCAACGCATATTCAAGATCATGCACTTGCTGTTCACTCTGCCCTCGACACTCACATCATCTGCCCTTCTCCACCTGCCCGTCTGGCTGAAAGACCAAATCCTGTGGCACTTAGGGAGCTACACACGACATCTCAGCCTGCCTGTCTGCAGGAGCCTGGCGGCCATCTGTCTGAGTATTCAGTGTGAGAGCGATCTTCACCGAGTCATTCTAAGGGTGAGGAGGACCACACACGTTCTTATCCTTGCCATTAAGTGAGGACTCAAGTGACAAAGGGAATGACACCACCTAAGCCTTGGACTCTGAGATCCACCTGCCCCTACCTCCCGCATCCTGGGATGAAAGGCATGCATCGCCATATCCCGCCAAGAATTGCAGTTTTGAGGTCTAGACTATATAGTAAATTTGAGGCTCAGCTGGGCTATGTAGAATGATCCTGTCTCCTCCCCACAAAACAAAAACAAATGGAGCCGGAGAGACGGCTCAGCAATTAGCAGTACTCTTTTTCTTTCAGAGGACCTGAGTTCAATTCCCAGGGCCCACATTGGACCGATCACAATCACAACTCTCTCTCTCTCTCTCTCTCTCTCTCTCTCTCTCTCTCTCTCTCTCACACACACACACACACACACACACACACACTAAATAAACAGGTAAATAAATAAATGCAAATCTTTAAAAAAACACACAAACAAAACAAAAGAAAAATAATACCATCTGAATCTGTTGGCTTCCAAGTCTCCAGACTGAGACGTCACAGATGCAGAAGTTGAGGACAACAAAAGTGCCATGTGGCAAGAAGGTCCTGCTGATGCACTCCATCCATACCCCCGTCCTCACTGGGCAACCCACAGACCTCCTACCCGTCTTCACACCACTCCTGACGATGTAAGGCGGGCTGGGATTGACCACCTTGTACATTAGTCTGGATGTGTGCAATATACCCAGGGCAACACCCATCACTGACACTGGTTTCCACAGTCTGTCTCCCCTCCCTCCTACTCAGAGATATAGCCTAGGCCATCACAGTCAAGGTGGGCTCTGTGGTCCTCTACTTTCCGATAGAGTGTAGATGCATTTGGCTGGGCTACGACCCATAAGGCTTGGGCTTTCCATGGGCAGGCAATGTGTTCTCTTAGAGCAGAGGACAAGGAAATGGAATCAGGGGTTATTATAATTTAAATAATTTGGATAAGGGCTTTCCCCCAAAGACTCCTATCTTGTAAGCTTGGTTCCCAGGGTGGTGGTGTTAAAATGGTGGAATCTTTTCAAGCAAGATAACTAGGTTATAAGGGCACCAACCTCCATACATGAGAGGAAGCCTGACCTCTCTCTGTCCGGTTTCTTAGGGCATATGCGTGTTTGCGCTGCAGATGGTAGTTTCCCTTCTGTGGCTCCATCAAGCACAACGCAGCTAGAGAAGACCTTAGCGAGGCTGGAGCCTGGACCAGCTGCTTGGACTTCCTAATCACCAGGACTGTGAGCCAGATGAACCTCTTTCCTTTATACACTGCCTAGAGTCAGGTGATTTTATTTTAACAGCAACACAAATTGACCACGTGACCACGGCTGGGGTATACTTGCTTACGTACACCACACATGTGGCTGGTGCTCTTAGGGGCCGGAAGACGGCACCAGAGCCCCTGAAATTGGAGTTACAGTAGCTGTGTGCCGCTAGGTGGGTACTGAAAACTGAATCCTCATCCTCTGCAAGAGCAGTAAAGGCCAACAGGTGTGAAAGCACTGGCCTTTCATCCCAGCACTCGGGGGGACGGTGGAGGGCGGGGCTCTGTGAGGTCAAGGCCAACCTGGTGTAGAGTAGGTTCCAGAACAGCCAGAGATACAGAGAGATTAAGTAGCACCCTATCTCAGTGAGAGAGAGAAAGAGAGAGAAAGAGAGAGAGAGAGAGAGAGAGAGAGGTGAGCACTGCTAGCCACCAAGTCATCTCTCCAGGCCCATCGTTAAATTTCTATTAGCTCCATTTTATACCCAGGCAACCTGAGGCTGGAGGGAATCTGAGCCACACCTGATCTTATCTAGTTAGAAAGCATGGGTGTGTGTGTGTGTGCGTGTGCGTGTGCGTGTGTGTGTGTGTGTGAGGGTCCCCGCTTCAATCCTGTTGCGACTCTTGTTATCTAATTTACGCTGTAACTCATAATGTAACTCATAATGTAGCCCAGGCTGGTGTTAAATTCTTGATACCCTTCTGATTATGGAGACTGCAAGTGTGTGCCATCGAGCCCAACGAAAGTTATGATTCCCGAACTCAAAGACCCAAGTCTCTTTGTTAGCAATCCTTGACAAGAATGGGTTGCAGTGAAGGTCATCAAACAGCGGAGTAATAGCTGAGCAGTGGTGGCGCACGCCTTTAATCCCAGCACGCGGGAGGCAGAGGCAGGTTGAATTCTGTGGGTTTAAGGTCAGGGTCCCATAGTGCAGGGTTAGTAATGCTGATGGTTTTATTACAATATATTTTATAACTGTTTTATTTTACTTTATTATTAGTTGCAGTGCCCAATTTATACATTACGTTTTATCATAGGAATACATGTATAGAAAGAAACATAGACTGTGCAGGGTTTGTTTTTAACTGCAGTTTCAAGCATCAACAAGGGATCTTGGAGAATGGGGCACCTATGCTTATACAGTCAAAGCCCAGAATTCTGGAATGGAGTTGTCTCCTCAACTTTAAAATAGGGGTAACACTTTGACCAATACCTGGCTTCCTAGTGACAAGTAATTATAAAATGATCTTGCAAAGAAAAGGGCTGCAACAATATAAATGTCTACAGTGACAAAAGCCCTGGCAGTTAATTTAGGAGTTTAAGTTAACTGGTAAAGCTGTCTGCTCCTGAGTGCCTGGGGCTGGACTGGACCATACTACAGAGGCACCGTGGTAAGACGGGGTCCAGGTTCCCTCAAACTGAACAGGTAGAAGATCGTGAACAACTGCTACCAAATAGATTGTCACTTTTTGTTGTTGTTGCTTGGTTTTCTGAAGCTGGGTTTCCCTGTGTAGCCCTGGATGACTTGGAACTTAGACCAAGTTGACCTGGAAGTCACAGCGACTGGCCTGTCTCTGCCTCCTGCGTGCTGGGATTGAATGTGTACGCCACCACCAGCTCGGATCCAGCCCAGATAGATTGCTGCTTTAAAAGCCATCTCCTTGCTCTTTTCTAATGATGTTCTCTCAAAGCTTACTTGGTGTTGAACAATGACCCTTTGGGACACATTCATGCATTTAATTATAAAAAAATAGGTAATACCGCTATTCGTACTTCTTGCTGAATGAATAGCATTATTTCCTTTTTAAGTCAGCATGAACATTTGGGTCTTCTCTTGCTTGCTAAACTCTATGTTTTTGGAAAGTAGGGTCGGGTTGCATTTTTCTCTCTCCCCTTGCCAGACAACACTTTGGTTCTGGAGCGAGTCCTCTGTAAACACTTTTGAATGCATGCTGTTAGTTCTGGTCCTGTTACCTGGAAATTGGCCTCCTGCCCATCAAAACAAACATTCACAGATCTTAAATTGCTTTTTAATCCAAATGGATTGTAATTCTGTTTCCTGTTCTTGCCCACCTGTTCAGTGCCACCGAACAGGTGGCTCACCCTCCACGTGGCCGATCTCCCCTTCATCCCGACCATGGAAGCATTGTGAAAATAAGTCATCAGGAATTGTGATATGTACGCAAGAAGGAGCTTAGAAGTTGTTCTAGCTACTTCTCTACCCAGGCTTCCCCAGGAGTCTTCAAAGAACATAAAAACCCAGGCAGACAGGAAGCTGCTGGGTGGTTGACGTGCCAATCTCCCAGCGTTTATTTCCAGCTCACCCTTGCTCTATAAAAACACACACTGTCTGATAAAAGGTCTGTGATGACCCTGGCTGCAGCAGAAAAATCTGTGTGGCCAGCACGGAGCCCCTTAGCCATGGACGGTTGGACTAAAAGCTCTCATTAGAACACAAAGCCCCGAGCACGGGAGAGTGCCTTGACTGAGGCTGCTTCAATGCCCATACCGACTTACCTAGGAAGTACAGAGTTGAGCGGCCTGGCTTTTGGTGGGGATGGTACTTTGGGCTCTGCCACCGCGTTCCCGGAAGACCCTTGCAGAGCGTCAGGCACTGGTCCCGGCGGCGGCGGGTTTGGAAGTATTTCCCTAGTGGAAGTCAGGAGGTGCTCTTTCACTTCTTTCTCCCGCGACTTGGCTTTGTGTTCTGCCAAGAGGAGGTCAAATTGCTTTCTCCGGCCTGGGACCGCTCTGCGGTGGCTCAGCGAGTGGGTCTACGGAGAAGAGAGAGGAGAAGCACAGCCTCTTTGATCAGCACATAAACCTGCTTCCGCGCGGCCCGCATTTCCGAAATTGCAACCACAGGCAACGAAAGGTGCTTGGCAAAGTCAACTTCAAGGCAACAGCTCCTGTTCTGTGGCCGGGAAGAGGCAGAGACCGCTCGGACGGAAGCAACCATGCCCTACACTCCAGGTGTTAAGAAGCCAAGGCTTCCTCCAGACAGCTTCTGCGCGGAACCCAGGACCACCTCAGATGAACGACACCCGCGAGGGCCAAGCTAGAGTCAACGCAGGTGCGGGTGGGAGGCTCCAGTTGGCCCAGGCAAACAGGGCCATACCCTGGACCCCTCGAGGCACTAGAAGGACAAGAGGAAATCTGGCGCTTGAGGCTGCCCAGTGGCGGATGCCAGGGGTCCGCCTGTCCCCTGGCCACCCCGAGGGGCTAGATCAGGGAGTAGCATCTCATCCTCCCCTCCGGGGCTGCCTTTCTGGGCGCTGCCGCCGCCGCCACAGCCGCCGTTCCTGCATACATTAAAACGTAGCAGGCTTTAGAACCGCCTGTGAGTGCCTATAAATACAATTTACTGTCTGGCCTCCCAAGTAACACGGGAAGCCTAGGGTGGATTTTTTTTTTTTTCTTTCCTTCTTCCCCTTAAAAAGCCAGCCAGCTTGGAGGCAGGCACTATGCTACCGTGGACAGAGAAGAAAGCATTTCCCTTACAAAGAACAGCTGGAGGTCGTGTCGAGGTTCCACACCCTGCCGCGTGCGGAGAGTGGCATGCAAACACTTCGACAAAGGCCCCAGCAAGAGCAGGAAGTATTTTCTTTTTTATGGAAAGAGAAATACCTTGCAGGTGAGGGATCTTGTGCAAGGTTTCTTTGTCTCGGGATCCAATACTCCACAGTGTTTATTTGGGTCAAATTCTCTCTCTGGTTTAAGAAACAAACAAAAAATATAAGAAAAAAGGAGACTAGATAGGATTTGGCATTAAGACTACATTTTAAAAAAAAAAATGCACATTTGCACCAACAAGTGAGACATTGTCAGGCAATCTGTTTTGTTTTGCTTTTCTTCCCCCCAACCAGCTGCTAAAATGCTTCAAGAATCACTCAGGGGAAATGGAGCTCCACTATGAACCCAGACATTCCGAGCCTGCTACAGGGCAGCGCGGGGGACAGGGGGCAGGAGCAGGTGGCAGAAGGGAAGGACCTTGTGCTTGCAATACTTTATTTAACTTAAAATAGTCCCACAGGTCCTTGGCACTTTGAGCACCACGGCTGCAGAGCAAGGAGGTCCACCTGAAACCTAAAAATGCTCCCTTTCTTCTGGAGAACCCATGGGGGCCTCTGTCTGCCTTCCTGGTTTAAGCATTGCCGTGGGAGCTTGTCCACTGACATGTCAATATGGCCACTCACGTGCCTCACAAAGGCCCTTGGAGAAGGCCTTCCACACAGTCTCGCAGATCAGGAATATTCCACTCTGGCGTGCCACAGGCAGGGGCAGGAGAAAGTGTGGCAGTGTGCCTCTGTGGGGCTGAACTTGAAGGCACAGGAAAAGCAGCCTGCTAACCCTACAGCTTGTGCTATCTGTACATAGCCCTCGCCCAGATGCTACCCGGGAGGAGAAACAGGACACAGGGGCCTGGGGGGTGAAGAATGACTGAGGAGCGACCGCTTTCCCCGGTGTCCTCCTTTCTGTCCGGACCGTTGAGAGCCTCCATGGAAGTAACTGCTAACTGTTCTTTTGATGCCTCTTGCGATCCTTCACCTCTTTGGGGCTTACAAAACCGCTTACCACACCTGCAAAATGTGGGGATGTGTGGCAATCTCCCCAGGACCCTCAGGCTTTAGGAAAATCTGTGCTGTTTCTGGAAGGTACCAGCAAACACCTCAGTCCTGCAGAGCAGGAAGGCCACAGCTCTCTGGGTGTGAAGAGTGGAGAGGGGGCCCGTTAAGGAGGTGCCAGGTCTCTAGAAAAGGGAGGTGTCTGTAAAGGCCTTGAAGGCTGCAAACTGAAGAGAGTTCCTTAGCCAGACACTGGGTGCATTTACTGGTGTAAACTTGGAGCATAATAAATGAATGTTCTATTTTCAAAGGTCTGGGGGTCGGGGAGGGGCCGCAAAAGGGCTTGTGGGGCTGTAGAAACTGTTTCCCCCCTCCCCGCCCACGGCCATGAAAATGTCTCCTTCCCTTTCCACACAGAGAGCTCGGTCCAGCAGGCAGCGGGCAAGCAGGTGCTAGATGCCAGGCTGCCTGCTGCTGAGGTCTTTCATTTCGGTCTGCCAGCGTCGGGCCTGTGCCCAGACCCACACAGCACCTCATATGGGAACTGAACAGGGTTTTGGCTAAGGATAGGAGCTGGCTGTTGAATCTGTGAGAGAGGTAGAGACAAGCAAAGGACCCATTGGGACAAGACAACCCACAAAACACAAAATTCCACCACAGGCTGGAAGATGCCAAGGTAGTGTTAATGCAGCAATAAGGGACCCGCAGCCTCTGGACCCTGTGCAGGCCAACAAAGACACACACACACACACACACACACACACACACACACACACACACACACACACTGGGGTGTGACCACCCACCTCTGCCCTGTTAACCGGCACATTCCATTTGGGAAGAGAGCTAGCAATGGGGGGCCGAGTCCCTGCAATGAAATCCTATGATGCACTCCCTTTATCTTGATTGTGGGTAAGCAGAACACGGGAAGAGGTGAGGAGTTGTCTCTCAATGTTTTTGGTAGGCCCAAGTACTTTTAAAACACAATTTTTAGATACAGATATAAGATAGAAAACCCAATTAAATATGAAGTAGTATTTGAAAGCTGCTCACACCTCCCTGGGTGCTGAAAATCCATGCCTGCATCAGAAAGCCACATCCTCAAGGGTGGCTGTCTCTGTATTTTGTTTTTTCTAGCTACCCTTAGACAGGGCCCATGGTGTGTGCAAAACTATGAAGTGTGTGGCTTCTTCCAGTCACTCGGAGATGTCAGAACAAGCCATGCTCAGTCCCACAACAGATCCAAAGCAAACGTCATCCCGTAAAGTGGCAGCTGTCGCCTCTGAGTGGCCATGTGTCTCTTCAGAGGACTGACTTGAGAGACATCCCGACACCCCCATCCGCTCTGCTGGTCTGTATACCCCCCTTGAGAACTCCAGCCTGACCATAGGGCAGAAGGCAGCCCCAGCCCCAACTGCAGAATCAGCCCAGAAAAGCGGGAGGCTGAAGAGCAGAGGTTACAATTCCCTCTGCAGCACAGTCGCTGAGTGGGCTATCCTACCCACCACGTCATGGGTTCTGAGATAGCCCACGAACAAGAGCAAGACGTCAGCTGGAATCATGCCAGTGTGGTATGTCTGTGCTGGGCCACCAGGCTAACAAGACCATCAGAGTCTATGCCTGTTGGTTGAGGCAGAGTCTCCTACTTCCTGGGCTTGTAGGATAGATAACGCTGAAACTCGGCCGGGGAGACCTCATCTGCATTGGGGTGCATGAGAGCACTAGTCCTGCCTGGTGTTTCTAGATGCCAGAGCGGGTACGCTCCAAGTCACCCTTAAAAGGAAAGAGCCGGCCAGCTACATGAACACATCACCAGTTACAGGCGTGACTCGGTTTTAGTCCTGGCACAAGCCAGACCCTAACTGCAGTGGCATACCTGAGAGTCTCCGGTAAGGCTTGTTGCTGGTTTTGGCGCCGTTTGGGTGCTTCTTGTCGATGGCGGCCGAGAGAACCGCCTTGCCATTTAAGATCTTCTCTGGTGACGGTGGCACCGGCTTGGACATCGAGGCGGGCTTAATTAACGGTGGGGTGGTGACAGCAGAGGAGGAAGTGGCTGCGGTCGTGGTCGTCGGGTTCATTTTGACATTGGCACCATCTGCCTTCACTAGGTTAGGAATTTTCTCTAAACTGACTACCGGAACTGGAACGCTGAAAAAAATAAGGGAACACACATGCACGGCTGCCTTCTTTGATCCATCAGGTCCACCGGGGAGCTACACCCAATTATCATTATCAGAACGCTTCCTTACCACTTGTTTATGCTCCTCCTGGAAGTGAGCAGCTGATTCCCATTTTGATGGGTGGGAGATTTGTGTTGTGAAAAGGATCGACGGGGGGGGGGGGGGGGGGGGCGAGGCTGGCACAGTGCCCGGGATAGATAAGTGCAGACTGATTACCTCCCAGGATGACTGTCCCTATGGGTCCTCTGATTCCCCCACTTCTCAGGCCCTACATGTGGTCCTCTCTGACACAGCACCTTGGGCCAAAACAAGGCCACTGCTGTGAAGCCCAGGAAGGCAGGTAGCCTGTGCCCTGGAGACAGCCTGCTGCCTTGGAATCAGGTCCCCTCCCCGTCCTCCGGCTTATGGGTTGTCTCCCACCCAGGCCCCATCCAGGCCTGACATCTGCTTCAGCTGCCAGAGTGCTGACAGGCTCACACCCCACGGAGCATGGCTGCAGGCCAGCGTGGGGCACGCTGCTGTCGGAGGGCTGCTGGATCATGCTTGCATCCCGAGGATGGGCTTAAATTGAGCGAGGCGCCATGTACCATTATCCGATATTCCATTTTAGGCAGCTAGTTATGTAAATAGGCAATTCTCCAGACTGGCAGGTGAGAGGATGAATTTTAAGAAGGTGAGAACACAAAGGTGCGCATTCCTTTTGCACAGCCTGTCACCTTCGCCCCACGCCCCTGCTACTTCTCCAGGAAGGCGCGTGCGTTTGATTTCTGCTGCTCTTTAATGTAAGAGGACCCTGTGTCCGGGGGGCTGCGGGGGGATGTGTCTCGGGGTCTTGAAAGATGAGATGAATAAGTTTTGCTTTGGTCTCTGAACCAGATTCCCTTTTCTCCTGGCAGGAGGGTAGACTGCTAACACTTCGGCTCCACAATCATCTCTGAGCGGAGAGAGTGGAGCTGCTTAGCGGTTTGAATGCCAAATGTCGGGGAATACGTGGCTCTCGAATGCCTGCAGACAATGTATGGCATGAAAGAGAGGCTGGTTTTGGCAGGGAGGAATCCTGTCTGTCCACATGGCTGGCTGGCTCTTACTTCTCCAAGCCATGTTCACAGATCATTTCTTTGATCGAGTTGTTCATGAAATTATTTTAGCAACTCGTCATCCTTGCCATCGTTCTGATTTGGAAACAGAACCACAGATGTTAGTTATAGGTCTTGGTGGAACAGATTGAAGCTGGACATTTTAGACTTTCCCCACGGGACATGCATTTTCTCTGCCTGCAGAAAGGTAGTTTGGGGACGTGAAACTCAGGAGAAGGGAAATGGGAATAGTGTTTTCTGTGATGCTCCGTGTTGCAGTCACTGAGATGGGGCTAACCTGTTTTGTTTTGTGTTTTTTTAATCTGTTTAGGGGGGATTCTCTAAGTACTCACATCTACTTACTAAAGAACAGCTCCAGAAACTCTCTTGAATGGGAGGATGCTGAGAAGCCACAGAGACATTCCCTGGTGAAATTAGCACCCCTCAAAGTTCATGTGTTAGAACCTTCAACCTCCAGACGCACAGGTTGACAGTGTTTGGGAGTGGGGGAGTGGGGCTTCGGGAAGCAATTGGGATTAGATGACATCATATGGGTGGGGTTCTACAATGGGGCTAATGGCTTTATCGGAAGAGGAGAAGAGGTCTGAGCTCTCAGCCTTCCTGCTCCTCATCTGGTGATACTCTCCACCGTGCTGTGCTCAAGAAGAAGATCCTCAGCAGATGACGAAATCTTGGCCTTGGACCTTACAGCTGTCTCACTGTATGGTGCAGATTTATTTCCATTATAAATCACAACATTTGTGGTATTATCACAGAAGCAGAAAACAGACTAAGAATATAAAAAGATGCCATGACAAAGAATGCAAACTATGGGACAGTATGAAATATAACTCTTCTTGACTCATTTCCTCATTCAACTTAAAAAAGCATAAGTTACAGGAATCAGGGCCCCCTTTTATTTTCTCCCTTTGAGACATTGTCTCAAGCAGCCCAGGCTGGCTTTGAACTTGCTATGTAGCCAACACTGGCCTTGAACCCCTAGTTGTCCTGCCTCGCATCCCGAGTCTGGGATGACAGCTGTTTCACACTCGCCCCTCCCAGTTTAGAAATGAGCATCTTGAAGGGTTGTCTTTCCGTCTTTGGACCTGGCAGTGGTAGCCACAGGGCGGAAGCTGACCAAATGCCGTTGACACAGCACACGGATGCTATTATCCAGCTTTACAAAGGAAGGAAATCCTGACCCGTGGCTGGACCCCGAGGACAGTATGCTGAGTAAAGCAAGCCAGTAACTAAGGACAAGCAGTGACCCCACTGACATGAGGCACCCACAGTAGCTAGAGCCAGGCAGACAGAAATTAGAACAGTGGTGGGGGCAGGGGGGTCCCCATGGACTCAGTGTAGAGTTTCAGCTGTGTAAGGTGAAAAGAACGCCAGAAGTGAAGATGGTAGTTTTTATGTTATACATTATATCATCACTTAGAGTACCAAGTGATAACTCCATAAATCACAGGATTCACACAACCTAAACTCTGCTTCAGCAAGTCTGCACGTGCGTGTATACATACGTTTTATATCTATGTGGATATAGATCTTTAGGTGTATATATATACACACACACATATGCATGCCATGTTACTTCACAAAAGGAAATGAGGACTTTCAAATTGCAGGGTTGAGTACGCAGAAGGGTCTCCTGTTTCTGTATCAAGTGTCCTTGACTTCAGCAGGATGATGCCTGGGATGGCATGGCCCGGAGCAATTGCCCGGCACCCCCCATGCTCACAGTGCAGACTGGGTTTCTCCTCTGGAGTCAACGATCGCTGTCAAATGTATTCTGCAAGGCAGCCACATGCATATGGGGGCACTGGGCTGACGTCATAGTCAACATGGCAGCTAACCCATGACATCACAGCCAACATGGCAGCTAACCCATGGCATCAATCAAAATGGCAGCCAACCCATGACGCCACAGCCAACATGGCAGCTGACCCATGACATCACAGTCAACATGGCAGCTAACCGATGACGTCACAGCCAGCACGGCAGCTAACCCATCGCTGGTGCCTTCTAACTCTTCCTGGTTGCCTACTGGCACCCTTATTTGATGTCTTACTGTAGGATTTCCTCTACTGTCCATTATTTTCTGTATCATCCCTGCTTCTAGGATGTCAGCTGGACTTTAATATCTACTTTTTGGTACCCAGGACCCACAGGCAGGGAGGGAGTAGAGATGGAATCCACAAGAAACAGGAAAGGAAGTGACAGGCAGTCCTGTGGACCAAGAATGGCAAATGCTGGTCAGGAGAACCTGATGGAGAATTCTAAAGCCCTTGTGGGTCAGAAAGCAGATAGCCACCAAGTAGGTATCCTGGATGTTAGGTGAGCAGGCAGCGAGTCATCAGACGTAAGAGAAGGGGGATACAATCTCTCCAGCAGGAATTCTGAGGGGATTCGCCCACCGAGGGAAATGAGTGCACGGCAGTGGGGAGCTGTCCCTGGTACTACTCTCCCGGGTTGCTGTTCTCTCCAGCAAAGGACCTGGGCTGGGTCTGAGAAGGGGAGGTGAGGGAAGGTGGGAAAGGAGGCAGCTCTATGACACTGAGATGGTGGGAAGGATCTTGCCATCCTTACCCTGGCCCCAGCACAAATTCTAGCCAGTCTCCTTTCTTCAGTAGTGCTGGCCCAAGACCCTAAAGTGATGAACAGAGGACATGAATGGGCACAAGACAGCGCACACAGTCATGGGCATCTGGCCCCAAGCAGATCTCTAGAGCTGAGAGATCAGGTGGGTGTTGGGAGCTCCACCTGCAGCCTACCCGCACCCCATGCAGCCATCTGCACCTGTCTCTATCCCAGGACTGGGTTAGTGAAGCCACAGCAAGCCACTAGCTCAGAACTGCCTGCTACTCTTCTCCTTCTGGTCCCCACACCTCTGCCCTCACTTCCCCGCATCAGCCTTGGGCTCCTTCAGATGACAGTGAACCTTTAAGTACAGGTTTAATTCCCCCGCCCCCTGGCCTGGAAAGAAGCCAAATATTCTGACCCTGCTTTCACGGGGTGGTCATCTCTCATCGTCTCTGCAACCACCACACCAAGCAAAAAGTTTCCACATATGGGGGGGTGGGGGCTGCGGGGAGTTGGTTAGGTGACAGCACCCAGAACACTGACTAAGCAAGGAACTTCTCTGTGTGTGGAGGTGATAAGCGAGTCTGGGAAGGGACCCAAAGCCCCCCAAAGCCCTTTCCCCTTCCACCTAGAGGAATGCCTTCACTCCATTCTCAACACTCATGGCATTGACCAACTCACTACTGTCTTTCCCTTGAAAGGCTGTGTTTGAAAATGAGAGAGGAGCCCCGTAAAGTCCCTACTGCTTTCACAATGTCTGTTCTGTAGGTCTGGCACAAAATCTTTTGGGGAACCCAGGGCTGCAGTTCGTTCCGGCTGCATCTAGTACCCTAAGAGCACACACATCTCTGCCTCCTCCACTTGGTCCTGGGAAAGTGCCCAGGGGCATGGGCCCTCCCTCAACCCCTGCACCACCGAGGTGACTACCTTCTGCCTTGGCTCCCCTTGTCTTCCTCCTGTGTGCTTGGCCTGTCTGAATTGATCTTTCTACCCCTCGACCAAGGCAGGTCTTCTGGCTTTAAGAAAAAAAAAATGGTTCTCTTGGCATCAAGTAGATTCCCCTCCCCGCCCAGTGATGTCTGCAAAAGAGCAGAGGTGGAGAATCATGATGGTGTCATGTGAGAGTCACTGCCGGGCTGCAGGGCCAGCTGCCCCCTGCCAGCCATGCCTTTCTTCGTGGCGAGCATGGTCTATTCTGTCATCGACAGACAGGCCTTAATAGGATAGTTCAGAAAGTCTCTAGGCTTGCAGAAATTATTGCCAGCCTTTCTCTACTCAACAGAATGGGGGAAAGATGGATTTGACA